TTTTTCTACTGTCAAGTGATTTGCGGAAATAAACGGAAGTGAAAGCCTGTGGCAGCATATGCTATTATCACAGATCTACATTTCACTGGGATGACAGGGTGGCACCAAACCAGATGCTTTGGAGTATTGGAGCAGTGCTTTATGTTTAGGTAAATACGTACAAATCCATACGCTTAAGATAAAACAAGCTTAAGACCTTTATTGTCAACAAAATGTGGAATATTACCATTTTCTACATAGGCAGTGTAAACTTTAATGAGCGGTGGATAGCAGCGACAGATGGTTTCTATATGTGTCTCTGGTTCCCTGACAAGTGTGAACATATCTGTATATTTTGTTTAAGAAACTATAAGAATATGAGGATTTCAAGTGTCAGAGGTCAAAGTTACAGGTGCTGTAGGTATAGAAAAAAACTACACAAGGTAAAATGTTCACAACAGTGCACTTTCATCAGATGCCTGAGCAGTCACATATTGACTACAACACTAATATACCATAAAAAATGTAAAAACACATTAAAATATAATGTGTTGTTGAGTTTGTTGTTGAAGTGAGTTTAGAGGTACTGCTAGATGGATTTTTTTAAACTAGGCTAGCCCTTCCCCCTTGCTTCCAGTCTTTATGCTAAGTTAAACTCACTGTCTACTGACTATAGCTTCACAGTTACTGTACACACGAGGGTGGTATCAATCTTCTCATCAAACTCTCGGCAAGACAGCACATAACCATACTTCTCAAAATTATTATTCTCAAAACTAACAATAATAACAAATATAGCTGCAAGCAGCAATGTGGGGGCCAAGCAGCCCAGCAGGCCAGAGTTGTCATGGAAAAATGATGTCATTGTAAGCATGCACAGCAAGCTTCATGTCAGTTGATTAAAGACTGGCTGAGACGGTATTACCAGAAACAAGACTGTCTTTTTAAGGCAAACATGCCAATGGTTATTAGCCAAAACCTATTTTTACTTACTGCAGTGCCCCCTAGAGGCAAGGGGGTGATGATTTTGGGCTTCCTTTAATGTGTTGGTCTGGATACATACAAGCTGTTGCTGTATGCTAATTTCTTGTTAAGCGGCTTCAATGACGTTTTTGATTTTGAACTTTGAGGAGTAGCAACACAGTTTTTGATAAACTCCAAAATGTCTCCTGCATCAATTAGGTTGACCTGACAAGTTGCCATTTCTCAACCTTGGGCCCTTCTATGATATTACCAGACACAATAATTTGGATTTTAAGGCAAACACATCAACAGTTATGAGGCAAAATGCAATTTCTATTATTCCAGCGCCCCCCTAAAAGTCAAAGGACACTAGATTTCTTGAGCTACCTCCTAACGAGGCCCTGAGTCCATGTATGAAGTTTATCTTTCATACATTACAGTGTAGGTGAGCTATGACCTCACTTCCTGTTAGGCAGCTTTGCGATTTGTAATTAGCTGTGATAAAACAAATGTTTTTGAAAATCAAAAATCCATCCAAAATCATCCGTCCCAATTTTAGTGAAGATTGGTCAAAGTTTATCTGTGGAGTAGCGAAAAAAAACACGTAAAATCCAATATGGCGGATCATCCAATATGGTAACTCGTTTTTGAAAGCCAGGCATACGGTTCAAAAGTTACACGTGTGAATGCACCTCAAATTTTGACCTGTTGGTGGCACTAGAGCGCTTGAGGCACAGACATGAAACTTGGTGACAAGCATCACAGGAATGTCCTCAATCAGTGTGTCAAATTTCAAAACTTTTTACCATACGGTTCTGGGGGATGCCATAGACTCCCATTGCAGAGGAAGAAAAAGAACAGAAGAAGAAAAGATACACAATGGGTGGCACAGCCCTAAATAATGACAATAATAATAATAAAAATGAAAATGTAGTTCATGCAAAAGGTTCATGTGCCATTGTTCAACAGAGAAAGTCCATTTTCAGTAGTCAGTAGTCAGAGTCTAGATATTGGGCCAGTATGAGAGATAAGGACATTGAGCCTGACTGTTCTGGCTGAGTGTGAGTGGGTTGGGGGTTAGGAGGTGTGGGGAGGTGTGTGTGTGTGTGTGTGTGTGTGTGTGTGTGTGTGTGTGTGTGTGTGTGTGTGTGTGTGTGGGGGTCGGGGGGGGCGGTCACACTTGCTGTTGTGGCGTCTGATAGCAGTGGCGTCTGATAGCAGTGGGCAAAAGTGAGCGCTTGAAGAGCTCCGGCTTGCTCTGTGGTGGGATGAGCTGGATGCAGAATGTGCGGTCCATCTGCCACAGTTCGTCATAGAGTGAGTGGGAGGGGTTATCCAGGATGGCGTTCATCATGTCCATCATCCTCCTCTCTGCCACTACCCCCAGACTGTGCAGTTCCAGCCCCACCACAGAGCTGGCCTTCCTTACAAGCTAAATGAGTCAGCTGGCATCATCAGTGTTGATGCCGCCTCCCTAACACACTGCAGCCAAGAATGGCGCCCTGGCCACTGCAGCAGCCTGTTGCACACACTGAAGGAGCTCAGTTTCTTCAGGAGAACTTTCAGCCATGGCTTTTCCTGAAAAGAGTGCTGCTGTGTGACCTCTTTCTGGATGATAACCGGAGCAGGGGACCTCCTGCTTGTACATGTGTGAACCATCATGTCTTTCCTTTTGTTGATAAGAGCTTCAAGTGGTTGTTGTTGACCACTTAAGATAAATGACTTATTCCCATGTTGTACGTTTTGCAGAGTACTCAGGGATAAGTCAGTGCATTTTGAAAGCATTTTCCAATTTCCAAATTTCTAGCACCATTCCAATTCAAAAACATAATTCACACTTTGGTTATCCAAAAAATTCACAATGTATTTGTCAATAAAGTTAGTTGTGTTTTTTTTTCAGTATTTTCTACGCTCTGCTTTGCATGCACACTTGCTGTTTTTTACTGTTTTACAGTTTTTTTTTTATTTTTATTAATTTATCTTTTTTTTTGGACTGATTTCTCACCTTTTAAGCAACCACTGGTTTCCATTTATTTCAGGATACTACTTACTGGTCTTCCAACTTGCTCAAAATACTGCACGTTTATTATTTAAGTGTTACAGTTGGGACCATTGTGAAAACTGTCCTTGTGGCACAAGGGTGTCCACCGTTTTGTCTTTGAAAGATCAGAGTATATGAGCTCTGAGTTCAAACAATCTAATATCTAGTGTGCAAATAGGATCCAATTAACCTGCACATTAACATCTGCACTGATTTTTATTAGAGTAGTACCGGCATAGCCAGATTAGAAATAAAATCAGAATGACTGATGTTGCCTATTAACACTGTTTTCTCTCTGTAATTTGAATTTTTTTTGTCATTTGCCCTGAATCAATGGACTGAAACATGCACTGCTGCAAGTGCTGTGGGTGAGCAATTTTTCTACTTCAGATTTCCTGATTTGCTTACCTTACAGACCAGATTTCCATTCCTTATTTTAGGAGGACATCTTCCCAAACTAATTCACAGGGGAAATAAAAGCAGATGATAACCTGTTAAAAATTAATTATTAAATGCGATTAAACAACGGTTGGGACAAAGAGCCATTTGCATGGATCTAAAATAATTCCCTTTGCCAAACCACTTAGTGAGGGCGCCATCAAAAAATTAACTTCAAATACAACTTGGAACAAAACAAGAACAGTGGGTCGGTGAGTGAGTTTATCTCTACGATTGAAACCACTGGTGTTCCTTTGGACCATGAAATTGTCATTTGTTCTGCAAGTGTTACATCAAATGAGAGTTCAGGGCCATGCCAGGACTGTTCGTTGCTGCTGAGCTTATTTTAACTTGTTATCTGACAGAATCTCCACAGATAATTATATTTGGCTCCGATAGACAGGTAGAGAACGCAGGCGAGCACGTGCTAATCCGGGGCTGTGCCTCCAAAAAACCCCAGGAGGAAAACGATGGCGTCTCGCCAGAGAGCTGGATGAAAAGTCACAAAAACTCTTAGCAGTTTCCTCATGCAATATGAATCCTCACATGTGATTAGATTTGCACCATAAGTCCAGGTGTTTGAATATTTCAACATGTTTTCATTTCAATGTCTATTGTGACCATTCCTGCCAGTGAAAGCTTTTTAGTGTGAGTGCGTGTCTGCATGTTACTGTGCGTGTGAACAGTATTAAGCAAAAATAATGTAACCAGCATGAGAGATTACATTCTGCGACTTGCTTAAAACCATTAGAGAGGGAGAAAAGACGACCAGGCAGAGGGGATTACTCTGGGCTGGAATGTGGAAGCAGGAGAATACAGCGAGGGGGGAAACAAGGGCGACATTGACAGTGTAGCACCGACAACAGCACTAGCAGGAGATCAGGTTAAAGAGGGTGGCAGAGCGCCAACTGATTGTTCTAGAAAGAGGAAAGAACAGAGAGAGAAAGGAGGGAGAGGGATATAGGAAGATTAAGACACAGAAAGAGAGAGAAAGGCAGAAAGGGAGTGATAAAAGTACAAAGGCTGCGGAGATTCCATCTTGCAAACAACAAACCAAGGGCCTTTGACACCAACAGCGTCCTGCCTTTGATGTATACTGCATTTAGCTAGCACTGAGGAACAGGAGAGTGGTGGTGTTGGTGGTGAGAAAGCCAGAAAGAGAAGAAGAAGAAGCCATCAGCATTATGAAAAGCACCAGACCCAGAGGCATAGAGGCATATGGAACAGCCACTTTGATGACTACTACTGTTTGCTCCACGTGGGGGTGGTGGTGGCAGAAGTGGGGTTTAATGAAAGGAAAGGGGGCAGGGTGTTGCGATGACGCAGGGTGCAGGAAGTATATGTAGCCAGGCTGTAGAAGCCAGCTCAAAATTAACAAAAAATAAATAAATCAAATAAATTCAAAAAAAGGAAATGCAAACAAAAGAAATAAAGGACATACAATGAAGCTGTACACCCAGAAGTCATTCCAGCCAGCCAATTGAAATAAATCAAGATGGAGGAGAGGATTTCGGCTCAGGTTAGTATGAGGCAGCGGACCTCTTTGCTGATTTGGTGTACAGCATGGTGACATACTGACCTGGGCTTGAGACAGCACTAGTGGTGGTGGGTTCAATAATTGCTAAAGGGAAGGAGAGGGGGGGAAGAGGGAGGGGGAGGGAAAGAGGACATTCATGTATTATTAACAGAATGGAGACGTAAAATAAAAAATAAAAGTGCATGCAAGGACAAAAGGACAGGGAATGGAGACAAATCCTCTCCATGCATTAAGGACCGGTGTCTCAGTGGCAAGATGCAACCTCCACATGCTCATAAACAACACGTTTCATCCCCCCAGTCGCCTCGGATTTGCATGGGTTACAGCTAAGACAAAAACTGAGGGGAACCTGGGAACTGAGGCTGCTCCAAAGCCCCGAAGGTGTTTTGTGACCGGGTAAAAAAACTTTCATCATACTTCTGGTATGCTAAACAACTGGCCGTGTCTCACTTTGATAGTGCAAGATCACACCATGCTCAGTTAGCACCCATAATTTCATCTGCACCTGCCGGGTAGTTCTTAAATCACATCAGTTTAACTTTATTTTCCCTTTCCAGAGGCTATAGCACAGTTCGCCATATTATGTCCTTCTTTTAGGTTGCATGAACTGACTTAAAAAAAAAAAAAAAAAAAAAAAAAAGAAACTTTTAGTCTGGCTTTGATCCCTCTGAGGAGCGAACTCAAGAGTCCCAATCTGATTACCTTATGAACTCATTTCAGGCTGAGCCACTGGTGGCATTTGGGAGATGGAATAATGTGGCGTCCATGAATGTTCAGTCTAGTGTGTCAGACTACTAGAACTAAGTGTATCGACCGAAGCACGGCAGCATGAAGTGTATGTGTAAAATGTCACACAGAGTAGATTTTATGCTTAGTCACATTTGTGGTAAAGATGTTCCTGTAGATTTTGGTGCGGAAGGAATCAAAATTCCATCTACAATAGCTACTAAACTGATGCAAGGGTCGAACAGGTCCAGATAATAAAAGTGATGCATGATAGTGTAGCCCAAAAAAAAAAAAAAAAAAAACATATCACATTTGGTTGTTGATAAGGTTACTGACACCAATGACCTAATAATTAGCCAATTTCTTTGATTTCTGGCTTCCAAAACTTGAGAGTTAAATCCAGACTCTGCTGTTAGGAATACATTATTTAATGCTACTTTGGTTTGAAGATATCACTGTAATGTAAACATTGCTGCCCATTTGATCTGAAGTTGAAGTGAAACAAATAAATAAATAACATGGCTTTCTGTTTAGTAAACAAGCACTTAAATTGAGATAAGCTGTGACCAGGTTTGTGCGGTGACTCACTTGGGAGCAGAATCGGGGATGTGTGGCAAAGCAAAGCTGTTCTTTACCATTAGCGCCATCAAGTCAAAGCGATGCAGTGGTCGGGCTCATAGGGTTGTTTTCAGCTTTGCGTTTTTGACACACAAACAGTGAGACTTGTACTTGCAGCGAAAAAACAACTATTTATACTCCCCACAAAGGTATAAACCAACTTCCTCCAGAAGGCTTCATGGCAGAGGAGGAGCTTATCTGTCACAAGGGAAACCATGGCAGCCATGATTACACCTCACACGCATTTCACACACAAAAAGAATTCTACTTTAGGTTGTTGCAGTGAGCTGCTGTATCTAGGGCATGCAACAGTGCAGAAGCCTACTTAGACTCTCCATTTTAATCCATTTACATGGGAACTTTCAATTGCGCACCTCGTCCACACCATGCTCTCAATCTGTGATCTGTGTCGCTTTTCTCAAGTGTGAACTGTGTAATGGCCGTCTTGCTGTTATAAAGGCCACTGTGATACCAACAACAATAAAACATTTGCTTCCGACTGATTCCATCATTCTATTTGAAGGGGAAATTGTGTAGGAATCAGTATTCATACGTGGAATGATACGCCTTTTCCATCGGTATATTGGTGGAGAAATGGTCGAATTAATCTTTTCTTCCACAAATGTTTCCACTTCAAGTACTCCTGGGGGAGCCGATATGTGAAGGCAGTTTCTTTTTAGTTCTTTCTTCAAACAGGCAGGCGGGTGCTATCTGATTAATACTTGAGCATGAATTCACCAGTGAATCATTTCATGAGCTCTCAGACACTCCTCCATTACTGTGGAACATATCTTTTGACATGCAATCTTTCCCTCACAGCTCCAGACTGACTTGGACTCTTTCTCTCATTCAGCACAGCAACGCATCATTTCACGTACTGTAAACGCCAGTCGACCTCTTGCGCAGCTTGCTCACTTGCAAGATAAAACACATTAGTTTTCGCAGCTATTTCATTTCATGGATTGCTATTCTCTTTGTTTCCTGTAGACGGGATATTGTAAGAGATTTATGTGACATGATTTGTGGGAATCACTGTTCATGTTGGCCCTGTTCAGAGTTTAGCTCATCCAAGGTAATCCAATGTTAATACTTAAGTTACACACACCTACATTTCACCGAACAGACAAGACAGGAAGCTGATAAAAGCAAAGATCCACATAGATGTCTATATGATCTCAATTTGTTGAGTTTGTGCCAAAATCCAGGTTTTAAAAGTGACTGTTAAAATTCAGCAGTGCTTGAATTACTTCCTCAGTCAATAATACTAATCAACAATCAGATCAAACAGATAAAATATGGCAATTTTGTGCTACATTGCAGTAAGCACCCCTTAAAGGAGTGGGTAGGAAAAGAAAGAAAGAAAATTTGCAGTCTGTGCGTCCAGTTCATCTTCACTGCTCCATTTGAGGGCATTATCAAGTTATTGTCATGCAGGGACACATTCTTTGTGTGAATTGTTGGGCTATTCTTAAACATTTTCCTCACTTATCCCTCCACGATGATGGAATAGTTGGTGTTAACAACTGTGTTAATTTGTGAGTCAGCTAATTAGTTATTTATCCTGTGTCATTTTTAATGTTGCCCAGAGCGTGTATCATCCTGTGAGCATCCACAGGGCTCAGTCATCCAGGGATGAATGTCCTTAGCAGTGCATCTGGTCTCCTACAGGACTCAGTGATGGTGGGTGGGGTGTGGGTGGGTATAAAGTCCATTGCCCGCTGGGCTGCAGGATGAAGACTCTGCTATAGCACCAAACATTTCCTCATCGCAGTGCGGCTGGAAAATGTTAATGGCTTTTCTGATTGCTTAAATATGGAAATGCAGGCATTCAAAGGATAGGTAAATGGCGCAACACTGTAAAGGGTGTTTTTGGGAAAAATAAAGGACACTGCAACCTTGCCATGTTTAATTTATTCAGCACATTTTGATATGTGTTAGATTATTTTTAAGATTAAAACAAAATCAACCAGAAAACAGCTGAATATCAAATATAGATGCAACTTGTTTTATGACCAATGCAGACAAAGAAATAGAAGGGCGAATAGTTGAACACCAAAATGAACACAATTATCTTCCCCACATGGCTTCAACATTATTTCCCTACATTTTAAGCTGTTATCACACACCCACATTTCGGGTTGCACCTTTAGCTCCAATTTTCCTGCATCTCTGCTCCATGACTCAGGTACAATCACACGGTGTGGGAACAAACAACATCATCAACAACAATGGCAGATGAGGAGACATGTCGAAATGACACCTACACATGCGGTGATTGATAAGCGTGACAAACGAACACGACGTTCATTAACCAACTAGCCAGCAGTGTCTCTCCTGCCTGAGGGAGCCTGAGCAGCGATGGAGAGAGAGAGTGAGTAACTCTTTTTCTCCCCCATCAGTCTCTTCCGATTACTGCTCAGAGGGGGGAGGAGGGGAGAAGAGAAAGGAGGAAATGAAGGCAGAGGTATAGGTGGAGAAAATCTCCTCCAGGGCTAAGCCGAGGTGGGCTGGGGGATAAGAGCTTGACCAATTAAGCTGGAGGACTCCTCAGAAAATTGGAGTGAACAGCCTCAGTCTTTTCATCGCAGTTCACTTCCATCTAGCACATGAAATTGGAAGTTGAAATAGGGATTGCCAGTTTGGTGATTGTTATACCTCAGCTAAAATCATAAAGTGTGTGTGTGTGTGTGAGACTGTGGTGTGTAGTGTATATGTGTATGTGCAAAGAGAATTTGTGAGAAATGCAACCTGCAGTGAATGTTCAGGTACATTTACAAATAATTCATAATTTCTTTTAATTCTTTGTTTTTTTCTTGAATCTTTCATTAAAGAATAACTGGTTTATATAAAATGCTGATTCTCTTTGGCCTGATGGTGGTCTACAGGACCACATGACTTGAGTCTATACATGACCCCAGTTTGTGCCTTATGAATTACCATTACATTCAAGTCACAAAATATAAATACCCAGTAATCTTTAAAAAACTCAAAAAGTTAAAGAACCAGGAGGAAATGACATGTGCCCTTGCTCTTTAAAATGTTACTGCTCTAAAAAATATTGTTCTGAGTTCGGAAACATCAATATATATCAATAAAACTGACAATATTTATTTTTATTATCACTTATGAAACTTACAATTTTAGCAAGGTGATATACCACTTCCAGACACCATCCTTGTTTGGATTAGGTGAAATATGTGCAACTTGAAAAAACTCTTTAATCTTTTAAATTCTGCAGTGGATGGAGTATTTTTTTTTTTTTTTATCCAGATGGTTTGAAATTCAAATATGAGGATTCTGAAAATCCCTTCTGAACTGTTGTCGAATGACCTTGAAATGTAAAACTCATTTAGTAACACTAGTGGCACAAACTGGGCTCAGCTCAGCAGTAGCACTTTTGATGGGTAAAATAACTTAAGGTGATGACAAACAACGCAGAATGTAACACACACATTTGTGAAGTGTGTTTCTATGTTTGTTCAACAATAATGGCAAGACTATATTCATTAATGACTCGATTATCAAACATTAGCACTCACACATGTTGTCAGTGTGTTGGATCTAAGTATTTAACTTAGCGGGTTTTTCGTCTTCTGTGTTTTTTCATTTTAACTTTCATTCCCTCCTCAGACCTGCTAGGTCTTGCTAGTTTTCAGAGATGTCTCATCTGTTTTCACAAGTAAATTCAATTGAAATGTTCATACTGTTGAGCCTGCCATAATATTTACCCCACAAACATTTGCAAAGCCAGCATTGATGTTACATAAACAAAACCATATCAACAAGTCTATATTCTATACAATACAATAATACAATAATACAATAATAAACATGCTGACTGTAAATCTGTCCAAAAAACAACTATTAGGATAGCTCTGGCAAATGTATGGTAATGTTTATTAATATACGCTGTCTCTGTCAAATAAAGTAGTAAATCAACAAACAACCAGCACATAACCCTCTGTCGTTGACGACGACTCCTTCTGTATGAAGCTGCAATCATTCTTAGTTTACGGAGAAATGGATCGATCCAGTTCCACACTGCAGTTTTTGTTCCAGTCTGACTACTTTCATTTTGGACAACTGCTAATACAAACTGACAAAAAAAAAAAAAAAAAATTGAGATTGCTTTTCTATTGTATTCACTTTGTGGTTCGATTTGATCCGGAGAATGATGAGGATAATACAATGAAGATACTGAGAGAAAGCCTGTGTCTTGTGATTAAATCTAACTGACGGAAAATGAATCACAGCACTGACTACACCTGTGCAAGCGCTGGTACAGTTGTAATCAATTAAATACAAATATTCCATCTGCAAACACATATAGAAACACAAGAAGCCTTCAAAGTTATTTCGGAGTATTTCTATGTTATCATTCAAGCATATTATCTTGTACAATTTGTTACACCTTTGTAACTTAGGAGTGGTTTAGAAGTACAGACAGTTATGACAAGTGATAACAAGTGTTCAACAACTCAAAAAAGCGATCAGATATAAAATACAGGTACAAAAGCTTTGTGCACACATACACAAACACTACTACTCCAACAAGTAGTGACAAAGAGGTTGTATGCTTTCTTTCTGCTCCAAAGAACCCAGTTTGTGTTTTACTACAGTTTTTAACACAGAGCTTAAAGTGGTACTTAGCTGAAAGAGATCACAATCCTGGACTAATGGTTTAACTGCACAAAAACCCACATGGTCTGACACAACTGGCAGAACTGAATCCCAACCACCACAGAAGAATGTAGTGAGGACACGGCCATCCAACTCATCTCAAAAATTCAGAAATTAGTCAGAACATCCCATGTAGACATGTGAACGAAGCCAGAATGCAAATCCTTTTTTCTTTTTTTCCATTCCTGTTGGATCTGAAACAGCAAACAAACTATCTGCCTTCCGGTGGCTGCCTCGGGTGGAAGACAAATGCCTTTACTTTCCTTGAGAGAAGGCTTTCTACAGTCACAGTTCATCTCATCAGTGATAATGGCGGGTCTTTTGCTGAACCGATTTTAAGTGACTCTGTTAAGTTAAGACAAAAAGGATTTATGCTGCTCAAGGATAAGGACCTTTCAATTTTAGATTAATGTCAACAGACTAATGAAACTGAGCCTTGAATGCTTAATATTTTGGTTTATATTTTATCTTTTTTCCCCAGTGGCTGTACTCCAAGATTTCTGAATGGGGATGACAGTTACTTGACTTTATCAATTCATGTGCATCTACTAAACCTCTTTGTGTAATGGAAACGACCAAAGAAACTAACATACATAGTCAATTTCTCTGCCACAAACCACCCTCATTGTGTTGACACTTAAAATTCACCTCAATATATGATGCTCTATCAAATATGCATGCCCCCTTTTCCCCTTCCTATCCTGCTCATCAATAGCTATCGACTGGTTCTAAAATAGCAATCCAAAGTCACCCGTGGTGAAATCTAACCTCTGGGTTTCGTTATTTACGTCAACGTAGCGGTGAGAGTGCGCTGCGGCGATTGCTTGCCATTTCTCATTAGGAGCAACAGCAGAATTGGCCTCTCTTCCATTAGTGGTGATCATGAGAGAGAAAGGGAGAGACATGAGAGACTGTATGTGCGTGAGAAGGAGAATGATAGAGAGAGAGAAAGAGAGACAAAGGAGGGAGAGAGTGAAACAGGAGAATCAGATAGACAAAGCCACGATAGCAAGACCAAGAGATAAAGAGAGGGAATGGAGGGGAGAGAAGTTGGGGGTGGCAGCACAGGAAGCTGCCTCCTCTATCTATTCTGAGGGTTTCTTTGCTGCTCTGCCTTTGAGGCCTCACTAGTGTCACATTAAGATCATCCATTTGAGGATCTGAGACAAGCCTTTGATGTTCTTGTGCATACACAAACAGGAGAGTGGAGTGCTCCTTTGACAATTGCCAACTCTACAGAAATATCTTTTTGTATTCGGAGTCTCTGGCCTGCTAGGGACTGTGTTATCATCAGAGGGTGCAGTGCAAACTGGTGAATAATTTAATTCACCTGTTCATATTTCATTAGTGAATACATTAAACAGATTTTTTTTTTTTCAACCCATACTTGTTCTAAAATGTTGAGGGAGATATGTTCCCCTGCCCCGTGCTGTCATTGCTAAGTTGCCGTTTGGCAGGTACAGCATCTGGACAAAATAATGGCAAAGGCCCAACAGTGAAGGAAAATGAAACACCGACCAAGGAATACAGTATGAAGCTCAGAATAAGTGGCGAACAGGGGAAGAAAGCAAGAATGAACAAGTTTGAGAATGTACAGTATGTAGACGCATACTAGAACATTCAACAACACGGAATAGTGTCTTGTTATTTTAGGAATGAAAGTGGATAAAAGCCACTTCCTCAAGAGCTTAAAAGATGTGTGAATCCACTATGGACCTCAGACTCATCAAACTACTCTAGAAGTTGTTTAAAAGTGAGCATGGACGATCTTAAAATGTAAGAAAATTATGATGTGACCCTGTTTGTGAACTGGAATCCAAAAAGCTTTGTACTCCTGGTCTGCTAATTCACCAGTTCACAGACCTTGGCTGGTAAGCACTACAGTGGGAATAAGCCTTAGGGCATTTTTAAGGTGCTTTTACCCCCCCCCCCCCCCCCCCCCTTTTTTTTTTTTTTTTTTTTTTTTTTTATAATTTCTGTGTTTTGAGCATCCCTGACATAATGGGCCTATTATACTTTAGTGATCATTGAACTTCAATCAGCCACTGGAATCAGAGATTAGTCTTGTCATAAACTGATGGCATGTCCTCACCTACGTATACTGTGCTTTTGCCAAGTGTGTACTGGGCTACACTTCAGTCAGTGGAACTCATGACTATGGTAAGATGGCTGCCTACTCTACAACATATAGTACAAATCCACTACCTCTATAGTGTTTTCAGCAGTTGGTAGCTTGTACTATTACTGTCATAGGCTGTTTCAAATCAAACCCATCTAAAAAGAGTTAAAGCTGATTCATTCTACCGCACAACCTTTCTAAATGCTCATGGGTCTGTGTTCTGACCTCCTCATACTAGGGCATAAACGTTTGTGTGATGGCGGTATTAAAAAGCTTTTTTTTGAATGAAAGGCCTCATAATTACCAACTTCGTAATGTACATTATTTTCTGGAGCTGTGTCACAGGGGTCCTGATCCAGCTTTGTGTTTTTCTCCTCCTTTATTCTCCACAATGACCAATTCCCATTGTACTGCAGTTGTTATTACTGCCTAAATCTAGTTTTGTCCTGGGGAGAGAGTAGGCAGCCACACAGTCACCAGCCTTCACTGGGGAGGTCTGAGACTGTGTTCAAGCAGACAACAGTGCTGCTGCTGCTGCTAAAAAAAAACTAAAAAAAAAAAAACACAAGGTGATCAGGCAAAAAAGTTGAATCTGGATCAACTCTGTTGTATGTGCACTCTGAAATGTCTTCCGGCAAATCACCGCATGGGTAATTACATATCAGCAAGCTTGGGACGTGACTTTGTAATGTGAACGCCGCTAATTTATACTGTGTGACAAAAGATGAAATAATAACTGCTGTGAATTGAAAAATCCTTCTTCATATTATTATAGACCACTGTGCAGTGTTTTGCAATCTGATAGGCTTTAAAACTCATGGACCCATTACTCAAACATGCACCCACCAACACAGCCTCTTACATTTCTTTTAAATGCAGTGCTGTTTTCAGTCTGAACGTTTACTAATGTGGTCAGAGGTTCACACTATCTCCCTATGATGTCACCCTGCACTGTACAAGGAATTGCTAGTGCAGTGACATGGACATGATCCCTCACTGGCTTCCCAACCATGAACATGGCCACTTGTGTTTGTTGAAACACAGAACCAGGCCGCTGCTCCTGCTCCCTGGGGATTGAACCCGGGTTTCTGCTGTGACGCGCGGGTGTTCTGTGCCTGCTCCTGTATTTTGCTGTCTCAGTCTCATGGTGCTTAGGAAATATTCTGATTTGTGTTTTTTTCAGTACTTAAATTTATGTAGAAGTGTTTCTCAAATCATTAAATAATTCTGCAGTCTATCACCAAGGCACCAGCAGCTTGGCCTCTGATTATTTGGCCTCTTCAGAAAGTCAGATAGATGCCTCATGGCGCTTTGAAAACTGTGAAAGGGCTGACTCTCAGACCTCTTTAAAATCTGAGCCATACTGCTGTTTGGCATTCAACTTAGCATAACTGACCTGTGTAGCTGCCTTTGTAATTGCAATGCTCTTACTTAAAGCAAAATTTCTTTTTCAGATGGTGTTTCATTCTAGTAAACATGGACTTGTAGACTTCAAAAGCACCCACTCACACACGTACAGAGACTTTGCAACCATATTAGACAACCAACATTCACAAAAACTGATGACTAGGAAATGAGAAACCACTTGTACTGATGAGATGTGGGCACCCAGTTGCAACACTAACTTTTAAATCCTATATCAACAATGCTGCACCAAAAACACAAACCCTTTCTCAGGGCACCCCCACTGATTTCCGCAACACTCTCTCAGCCCTCTGACTCTTCACCACTCCAGTTAGCCACAAGCAGATAGAATGACAACTTACGAATGAGAGGCACACTGGCATTGGCTGTCCCTAGCTTGTTGGAAGCGACACATGTGTAGTTCCCGTAACGATCCTCTGTCATGTTGGTCACTGTGAGGACTGATCTGGAGCTGAGGCTCTTGATGTCGATGCCTTGACCCTTGATAATCCTGAAAACAGAGCACAATTACAACAAGTTAAGGGGGGGGCATTCCTGGTGGGTATAAATGTTTGTCGTCCTTTAGTGGAGCTTCAGATTGTAAAGTGCTTCATCGCCCTCTTCAGCAGATCTATTTATCCCTTGGTCTTTCGCGTCTGTCTTGGAGAGACGTTTTGAGGGACTGAAAGGAGGGAGAAATGACCCAGGGGTGAACCTGCTGGGTGCCACTTGACATGTTGTTCATCGTTTTGCTGCAGGTGCAGGGGGATTACAAAAAATCCCATTCCAGTTGTGCCTGACATCTGTGCTGTGAAACAGATGAATGTTTAATTGTTTACTTTGGTGGTCGTGATGATCTTTAACAGCCTGTAGAGATTAAAATTCACTCTGCAATGGCATATGCTGTGCATCCTGGTAGTAGGATTATTGTGGATATTAAAGCTGAGTTTGTTTTTATGAGTGTGGTTTCTGTCACTGTTACAGTGTCACACCATAAACCATAAAAACCTCCACAGAAGAGACATGTTTCTACCCCCCCCCCCACTATCTCTAGCTTGCAAGTTGCTCTGGTTTCAAACACTATGTGTGACCTTATGTCCAGCAAATATCCACAAATCTGTTGTTCCCAATCCCACAGCAACGTCCTCAAATGTTAGCGGAACATTCACTGATCTCTCAGCGGGTGTTTCGCCACTTCACTAGTTCAACATCAAACTAGTCAATGCTCCCCTCTGTCATAGTGAAAGCGCGCGTGTGCGCACACACACGCACGCGCGCGCACACACGCACGCACGCACACACACACACACACACACACACACACACGCACACACACACACACGCACACACACACACACACATCCATTCAAGAATGAAAGCAGTGACACATCAAGAGAAAGATTTGCTTGTCAAAACTGTCACACTACTTCTGATAGAGACAAAGTGGCAGCAGCAATGCACTGATGGTATGGCTGCATCAATACAGAGCCAAGATGAAAAGTGGCCCTCATTTCACTTACAAAGAAATGGAAATAGTCACATCCAGTGTTAATGTCGTATAGAAGTTACACAGTTAACTACAGTTTCTCTGCTCATGTCCTTTTCATGATGATGAGTAAATGAAGAAATCACCATTATGCCATGTAAGAAGTCACAGAAAGAACAAGTCCTTGAATTAAGTAAAGACTAGAATCATGCCAACTTGCCTCCTTAGCAATTTGAATAAATTGAATCCACCCCATAATTACAATTAGCACAGTGTGAGCTGATGATTGAAATTGTGCTCACTAGGAGTGGGTAAATGATGGGTAATGGGGGTAATTTGGTTTTTAAATTCAAGAACTGACACTCGAATCTAGACTGATTGATGTGTGTGTCGCAAATGATTTAAGCCAGTTGCCAGCAAACATTTTATTAGGATGCAAGGTGAGGACAAGGCACAAATGACTCTTGCTGGAACATTTCTGTGAGTCCTCCCCAGAGGATGGACGAACAGGAGAACAAACAAATGCACTGTCACAGGTAAAAATCAAATAAATAAAACCAATGACTTTTATATCATGTACTTGTCACAATCAAGTAAAGGTATGACCTTATAATGCCACCATTATTGCCAAATGTCTGCATTAGAGATTACAGTTTAGAATACAACATAAAACCCATTCAGCACAGTACTGCTCAAACACAGTACTGCGCAAAACTTTTAGAAACTTTAGATGTTTAGATTTAGAAAAGTAGAAAATGTTATTAAATGCGTAAAGTAAAACCACAAAGTACCTGTTACCAGTGTCATATTTGAGCTACAAACAACAAAGCCATATCCAGTGGAAATCTGGGATGATGCTGCCGTCAAAACAACTCATATAATAAAACTGGGCTCACCTTTTCTCACCCTTGTACCACTCAAATGTTGGAGAAGGCACAGCAGCTGCCTCGCACCTTAGCAGAGCTGTGCGCCCCAAGCCAACTCCATGGCTTTTCATCTCATGGATAGCTGGGGCAACTAGAGAAGACAAAGAGATAAAATATGTTAGCAGGGGAAAAAATGTCAGTCTTAAGAAAAAAATTTTTTGTTATCACAAGCGGAAGGGCAATTTAAAGGAAAACGTTTAAGTGATACATGGTGCGCTGGAGAATGAGGGTTGTTGACCTTGAAAATGACAACCTCCGACTTCCTGGTCAGTGCACACATTACATATTGTAAACTCAACACTCAGAGTCTACAGAGGCGGAGTTGGGGAGGGGAGAGGGCATCCATCCCCGATGTTAGGAAAATGAAATGAATTGCACTGCATGGTGATAAATGGCTTAATGGAAGTTCAAAGACTCAATGGCACAGGCAGGTTCTGTGAATGCAGAATGAGGTTCCTTTCATGTGCTGAAATGTGGTGTAAATCTCTTTGCCAGTGTCACGAAGGCAGCTTTACATATGGACGGATTCTAAAGCAGCCCAGTCCTTTTGTACTTCAAATATTTACCCCGCTTATAGTAACACAGCCATGAAAGAAATGAAATTAATGAATTGAATTTATGTAGACTTACAACAATGGGCAAAACCAGTCAGACAATAAGATTTCCAGCACTCTTACCTTTCCCTTAGTCACATTATGGGAATAAAAATGTTTCACTTGTTACATTTGTAATTATTGGCCATCGTCCGAGTGATGCATTTATAAACTGGGGGTGTAGAGGACAAAGAGTGCTTGCTGACAGCAGAACTGTACCTCGCAGAACTGAATGCGTAGAGTGCAACATACCCACCAGTATTATTATGACTGTTCTCGATTAATCAACAGAGGCTAGGCAACAGGAGAACCAATCATAACAAGGAATAGGGCTCAATCTGACAGTATGTATTATGTAAACTTGGCTTGACTCCCTAAAGCCTGACAAATAATAAATGTGTTCTGAACACCAAATCAGATGCACAGCCATTTGACATACAACACAAGCAAAATTACTTTATGCCATTCACACAGATTCTGATTAAAACCATATGATACATGGAAAAAGCCCACACTCTCAGGGTCAGTCCTGCAGCTAGCAGTAAATTGCCCATCCATGTCTGAAAGTGAGATGTGGTGTGGACTATTTATATTCCTGACAATGAGCCTTTAAGAACGACCTGTCAGTCAGAGCTCTAGCCTGTATCCAGTGGAATGGCTTGGCCAAGCGCCTGCAAACCTTTACTTCCAATTGCATTTGGAGATGTTCCTAACGGATGACCTCAGTACAGTACGGACTGCTGCAGCTATCCCTGCACAACACAACCCGAAGGCACTAACTGGCATCACACTCCCAAAACTGCAGTCATAAATTAATACAGTGAAAAGTCTGAAGGCTCTGTTCGTACAAAACAGGGTACCTCTGACGTGTATTCCAGGTATGTGAAAATAACAAAATGCTTCATTATAGCAAATATATGCATTCCTTTCAGACAGTGGTATTGCCAACAACTGAGCCCCATTTTAATGAAGAGAATGCAGCATGGACCCACAGTGTGAACTGTCTCTCTGCCAACCTGTGAGAGTCCACATAGATAGATGAGGCGGGATGCAACCGATCTGTGTGAGGTGTAAAAGATACATGTGAGCATTTGTACATGTGGTGTATGATCATGTAGGAGAGGCAGAGTGAGGTGACAGCGCGCTCTGTGATGATGGATGCCCTTTCACCAGCCTCCTTCTGCATCCTAATGAGCACATTCATATGACTAGTGTATGTTGATTTTCTGTCCTTGCATATGTGTGCCAATTATACAGCTATTTTCCCTCTTCCGTGGCTGAGCTGAATAATACGAAGGACTTGAGACAGTGAATTAAGCGATGGGTTATGCTAGAGCTTTTCCTGTTCATTTATCACTGTATGAAAAGTTGGATGCCATGCTGGGGGGTATTAGTAGACCTTGACTGGATGTCTGTGCTTGCTGTGTCTGTGTGTGGGTATGTGTGCAAGCTGTGGGTGTGTGTACCCTTGTGTCTATGAACTATCCAAAGTATCAACACTTTTCTGACTTCAGATCTGTATCTACTGTAGTTTAATCACAGCCAGCGTTAGCAGTCACCACACCATAAAGACAGCCAACAAAACTGTTATAGACTCCACCAGTATCTTTGCGGAAGAACTACAACAAGCTCTAGCATAGAATAAGAGGGCTGCTAAAGCTTGTGATAAAGTCAAATCAGAGTGTTGACATTTGACAATGTGCACTAGAGATACTTCAAAAATAAGAAAGGAAGAAGAAAAAATGGTAAGAGTTCTCTAGAGCAAAGAAATATAAATAAGCAATAACAAGTATGACAAAATCAATGCAGTATGCCGACCGACAGAGGCTTAGTGAATCCTTGTAATCCTCCATTGGTGTCATTGTGCGGGGCCATTGATTATCTGAAGCCTCTGAAAGCGCCAGGGTGACCTGGCTGTCGTGCTGTACAGTTACTTGGACAGTGCACTTGGTGGCCCAGGCAGGTGTGTCAATACTTGAAACCTCACACATAGAGCCCCTGTCTTTCATGCTAACACTGGGAACACAAAACCACAGGGAAATTGTCTGCCGATTTCCTTTTTGGAAGAGAGAGCATTGTGATGTGTTTCCTTTAATTTATTACCAACTAGATCGCTATTTGCCAAAAAGAACACTGTGCTTTCTTTATTGGACTCAAAGTTGGAACTTGGATTGCTGTCCTCCTATCAGAAGTTGATTGAAATCCTGGCAAGCAAAGTTAGCACGTTACCAAGAAAATTTTGCAGGTCAACATATATAATGAGCGCTAGATTCTCTCCCTCCTGGTGGTGGTACTGAAGAGTAGTAACTATGAATACAAACCCAGATTTCTCCTTAAATGATCCAGTCAGAACAGGCACATGCATCGATCATCATATATCTTATCAAGGGCACCTCTCATAAAAGTTCGCCACCATTAAAGTTTCTTTTCTGAAAGAACCGGGGCCCCAAGTAATTGTCCCTCTTACCACTTATGTCATACAACTGCTGCAATATTTTGGAATAAAGAAAAATATCCCCCATGATTTTGTAGGGGGTCCAAAATGCTATCATTTTATATGCATATCAATAATACCAATTTGGGTCCTGGCACTGGGATCTTTTAAGACAGATCACAGCCATAAAATCCAGTCCAATACAATAATTCCAATTTCAACTTGCTGGCATGTCCTATATCATCATATATTGTGTAATACACCATCAGAATGTGGAGAGTAATGCAAAGCAGTGCACTAAAAATCATGAAGGCCCAATAATCCAGGTAATTTAGTGTCTAGGGAATGCTGTGGTGCTGTTAATCATGCCTGGATTCCTGGTGACTCCACCAGATGGGGGTGAGGGGTTGGGTCCAGGAATAGCACAGGCGCGGCAGAAAAATGGGTGCTGTAAGGCCCTGCCAGGTGACAAATGGCCAGTTGCAGGTTGATCACAGACCGACTTCCATTACATATACCTTGTATAGAGGTTGTCATCAGAATAAAGACGACGTCTCCAATTGTATGTCTCTACAAAATGAATGAATATAAGCATGTTAATGATGAATAAAATATTTGACCTTCTCTTTAATATTAATGGACAGGGTTTGTGTAGAAAGCATCACACCTTAATGTACAGGGCTTCACTGAGTCGCTTGCTTTAAGCGATCCTCATGTGACTATTAATGATTAATTGGTGTGCTTCAAGATTGAATATGATTTATTTAGCTACAAACTATTGTTTGCCAAGAGAACCCACAGAACGCAGGCTTTTTAATTAAAAGATCAATTAATAACCCTACCTCTTCAGCCAGATTTGAAAATGAGTTTTCATTGCAATTAAGAAATGGACTCATCAGTGCATGACTTATCAGCTTACACACAGAGACACTGTTCCCCACTGCCATCTGTGGGCTTCATTGTCCTGTTTTTTGTCAGTCAGGAATGGTTCTGCTGCCAAGATTTATTAATTCATTAAGATTTCTATTCAGAACAGCTAGGGAACATTGTGTTCCTTCTTTTTATACAATGCAAAGCATATAAATAACCAGCCTAGCGTGCAGGACCGTGTGGGTCGACAGTAGCAGGAATTCAAACTATTGTCTGCGTTAAACACTAAATAGTTCAAGGTACACAAATTCCTACCTATCGTACTAAATACCCATACAAGATGGTGGTGTGTTCTCATGAAGATCACTCTAGGAAAAAGACAGGAAACATCCGTAATTCATTGCTATAAGATAGTTCAGTAAGTCACCTCCAACTGTTCAAGTATACAGAAAGTTAGCCTGGATACAAGCATTCGCCTTTTATCAACGTTCCAAAGATATTTTGATCAGTCACTAAAATTGCAGACCAAGTTAATAGATGAAGCCGCTGCATGTCAATCTATTCTGAAGTGGTACTAGGAAGAACATTTATTTTGCAGAAGATCAAGATTCCGCTCATTTATTCATGCCCCGCATGCAGCAAGGAATCCAAATAGCAATCAAGACGAGAGCTTTGGAGAGATGTAGAGAGATGGATTTACACCCAAACAGCTCGAGGGTACTGGCTTTAACTCTACTTAGGACTGGATCAGAATCCAATTCTAGGAAGCCTTCTCTTTTGAATTGAAAGCCACAGTATTTCAATGGATACTGCAAACTGTCGACAAATGCTCAGCTGAGACTTTGTGCCTGATGTTAAAATACTCCCTACAAAGAGATTTCATTCAACTGTGGAATGAACATTCATTCTACCTTTGATCCGACAGTGCTATCCACCACTGCACCGAGGCAGGTCTGGACACACACAGACGTACACACACTGTATGCAGGAGATGCATTTTATCAAAAGTAAATGCTGTGAACATTTATGCAAATGTTACAGTGTATAATTGTTCTTAATGAAAAAAAAAATTGCTAATACTGTGCAAACATGCTCACTCCCTACTAATAGTTGTTTATTTTCTTGTCATTACTTGACATTGTAATATTGTGTGGTGATGAAGATGCTCCTCCTGACCACAAGTAAACAGGTTTT